CTGGAAACGGTGTGGGTGTCCAAGTCAAACGTGGTGCAGAGGCGAGGGCGTGCTGGCCGCTGTCAGTCGGGATTTGCCTATCACCTCTTCCCTCGCAGCCGCCTGGACAAGATGCCAACTTACCAGGTTCCAGAGATCCTACGCACCCCACTGGAGAACCTGGTGGTTCAGGCCAAGATCCACATGCCGGAGAAAACGGTAAGCACAGGACACGCCTGCAAGGCTGCAGCCGACTGAACCAGCAGGATGCGGCCGGCCTGGCGCCAGTTCTAGGGGCGTGCTTTGACCGCAAACATGAGTAGGAAAAAGCCAAGATGCTGATGACTTTAGTTCTTGCTTTCCTAAATGCAGTGCTAGGGAAGTTAAGGCAAATGTATAGATTACTTAGATTACAGAGTGTATCTAAAAGACTCTGGAAGAATAGAGAGGGCTGAGCTCATAACCCTGTAGGCAAACAGAGGGAACCATGTTGCAGCCTGGGGCCGGGCAGTGGGCTCCCCAGGGCTCTCCCACACTCCTGTATGGGAAACATGCCTTTTTTTTTTTTCTTTTCCCTTCCCCCCTGCTGTGTTGCAGGCAGTTGAATTTCTCTCCAAGGCTCTGGACAGCCCTGACATCAAAGCTGTGGATGAAGCAGTGATCTTGCTGCAGGAGATTGGTGAGTTAACGAGCTGTGTCCTGGTGTGGGTGTGATGGAAACACGTTTGCTGTCTAAACATGGGAGGTGGGAGTTGGCACAGGATCCTGTGGGACAGACTGGGCAGGATTGTCCCTAGGTAGGAATGGCAGCTGATAAGGACCTCCCAAAGCACACATGTTGCAGTGCTATTTTATTTCCCACGCTGCTTTGCTCAAGAAACAGGGAGAACTTCCCATGGTATAAAAAAAAAAAAAAAGAAAAAAGGGGTGTGGGGGTGGGCAGAGAAAGATGGAACGTTGTGATCTGGAGTCCATAGCTGGGGCCTCATGGATTGTCAGCTGGCTGGTACAGCCTTTTCTCTGGCCGCAGGTCGGTTAGACCTGGGGGGTTCTGGGTGCTTACTGCAGGCTGTGCCTCTTCTGGAGGTTACACCGAATCTTCCAAGCCCAGGAGGTGGGTTCTGGCAGCTCCCCGAAGCCGCTGGCCACCACTTTGGCCCCACTTGGAGCTGATGGCTGTGCCCTCGCGGGCGGCTCTGTTGCAGGCGTGCTGGACCAGCGAGAAGCCCTCACCACTTTGGGCAAACGCCTTGCCCAGATCTCCACAGATCCTCGGCTGGCAAAGGCCATCGTCTTGGCATCCATCTACCGTTGCCTCCACCCTCTGCTCGTCATCGTTTCCTGCCTCACCCGAGACCCCTTCAGCAGCAGCCTGCAAAACCGTGCGGAGGTGGACAAGGTGAGGAGCCCTTCCTAGAGGAAGGTAGAAAGGCAGGGAAGGGGCTGCCGCTTGGCTGACATGTGTGTCTGTCTCCCAGGCCAAGGCTGTTCTGAGCCGGGAGAGTGGGAGCGATCACCTGGCGTTTGTCAGAGCTGTGGCAGGCTGGGAGGAGGTGCTGCGACGCAGAGACAGTCGTGCCAGGGATAACTACCTGCAGGACTATTACCTGTACGGCCCCAGCCTTCGCTTCATCAATGGTGAGTCCCAGGGGGCTGCTTCTCTGTCCCCTGAAAAGGCTGAAGCGCTGGTGAAGAACATGGTGCAGAACTGGGGTGGGCTGGGCAGGTGCCTGCTGGACTGGGCGCAGGTTCTGGCTTTGGCACTTGCGAGTGACAGGGAGGCCACAGGCAGGACAAATCTCCTGTCCTAGCGCTGAGGCTGAGCCTCCAAGGCCAGAGCTGGTGCTGCCCTGCTGAGCTTATTTCATTCAAGTGAAGGAGAGGGTGAATCTCATTCCCTGGGGCTGTCTCCTCCCCATAGGCCTTGTCAAGCAGTTCTCCGAGAACCTCTACGAAGCCTTCCTGGTGTCATCCCCATCTGACTGTACCATGCCCTCGTCCGTATGTAACCAGTACAGTGAAGAGGAAGAACTCGTCAAGGGAGTCCTCATGGCTGGGCTCTACCCCAACCTCATCCAGGTACTGGCTCCCCGCTCTGCCATCACTCTCCTGGGCTTGCTGGTCGCTGCGGGTAGCACAGGGAAGCGTGGAGGTGCCAGAAACACTTGCGCTCTCTTGGGAGCGTGTGTCCTAGGCAGGCTGTCTGCTTGTGCTTCTGCGTGCTGCTCCAGTGCTGTCCCTGGATCCCTCCTCGTGAGGAGTGCCCCCCCTGCAGCCTGCAAAGGTCTGTGCTTGCGTTCTTGTAGCTTGGTCTGGGAGCCATCAAGGTGACAACATCTTCCTCCTGTTTGGTGCCCCTTGTGTGGCATTTGGTGACTGCCAGGTCTGGTCACAGAGTCACAGAATGACAGAATGGCAAGGGTTGGAAGGGCCCTCGGGAGCTCACCCAGTCCCACCCCCCTGCTAAAGCAGGTTCTCCTAGAGCAGGGGGCACAGGACTTCATCCAGGCGGGCTTTGAATATCTCCAGAGAAGGAGACTCCACAGCCCCCCTGGACAGCCTGGGCCAGCGCTCGGGCA